GGTAGTGGTTGAAAAACAGACAAGGGTGGTCGAGCTAAGACCTGGCATGAGGTTATCAAAAACAGCACCAGGAGTCTGAGATCCAGAGATCCCGTTAGGCTCCCTAGATAGGGACCTCGGGATAATGGCACCCGATGATTAGAGACACTGAGTGATATGGCTGATTGTTGTGAACAGTGGCGTTCTCTGCAACACTAATCCAATGATATGCTATTGTTTACTTTTATCCTGCTTTCAACCGTTCCAGTCTTTCGAATATTGTTCATCCAAATAGGCAGCCAAAGAACAACAACCAAAACTGATGCTCGAAAATGCATACCTAATGGTTGTAAAAACTGAAATGAACTGGATAGTTTCCGGAAGTAAATGAGATTTGCACAAGAGACGACTTTCAGATGAGGAAAAATACATACACTGATGAGCTTTCTATGGTGGCTGGTGGAGTGTACACGTTTGACCTCAAACTATCAAGTTGTAGCGTTACTTGTCGAAACGTCAACGGTGTGATATCTCAGAAGGAGCTTTGATGGACTAGTATTGGCTAGCCTTAAGATAACTGCAATTGTTTGAACAGAATCAAATCAGTGTGTTCGTTAGCTAGCCCGACAAGGTATGGGAAAGTATCCTGTTCACCAATGAACACCTGGCGCAAAACCTTTAGAAAATTGGAATACAAATGATGTGCGGTTGAAGCTACATATAATGTAAACCAGTCTGACGAACAAATTGCTCATGGGGCACGGTTTCAAAACCGTACAGTACTCCTTTCGACACTTCAGTTAAAACCTGATATCCTGGGTTCCACATAATTTTCGAGCTTTTCGTTAGTATGTGAAGTAACGGTATCAGCGTGTGCACGGGGTTCAAACCCTGAATTGAATGCGTAAATAGCGTAAAATATTCCAATTTCATTGATTTGAAATGAAATGTGTTGCATGTAGGACAAAATGTACTACATTTCAAAATATGTTATTCGTTGAAAGATGACAGCACTTGGAATGAAGAGAGCACGACTACGGGAGAAACCGCAGAAGACGGAAATGAAATCGTGGAGACAGATGTCAATCAACATGAGCATAGTACCCATGGAGAACAGCCCGATCAATTACCAGAGTCCCCTGAGGGATCGACAATCAAAATTGCCACTGGTAAGTGGGATTATCGAAATGGCTTACGCCGTGAGTTGGAAATGAATAACTTACAAGTTATTTGTGAAATTGCAATTAACACGGCAAAAGTCAAGTCAAGAAAAAGGGTGAATTTTCAGCAATGCACGATTTTTACAGTGGATAGATGAAACCAATTGCAAACAAAAGAGATAATATAAGTAATTCCACATTTTGGTAAGTCAGCGATAGTTTGGTGTAAGAGTTTTCTCTGAGGTGGGTGAGAATATCCTAACGTTCAACCAGTAACCGATGTAGGTAGGTACTTACACTGTTTCTATATGTGGAGTAATGCGCAGGGGGAAGTTCATATTTGGAGCAAGTTTGGGGATTTTAAAGCGCTTTCGCGATATATTGGTGCAAACAGTGCCCTTAATCACCTGTTATACTGTCCATGAATGGATCACAAGCTTGGAAATAAAGAAATCAACTAAAATAGCTCTATCAACCGTCAACTGCACTGCGACAGACGTTTAAGGGATCTTGTAAATAAATTCTTGTCCGTCAAACATAGGGCAAACTCGCGAGTGACTATTGATGTATAAATCGCAGTGGTTAACGGTATTTTCTCTCCAGTGGTATGTGGGCCCGTGGACGTCTCGGGCAAAATAAATTGTTCACAATGTTATTTGGCACATGCAGGTTTTGTATTTAATTTGTAAAACGTTTGGTAACTATTTCACTGATATTTATCCTGCTGTCCATCAGCACGTTTACACGAAGACTAATGATATGAATGTAATACAATTCGATCAGGCCACATGTTCTGATTCAGACCACCAATCCGCTTCCATTTATTTGTGTAGCTTTTGAAATGGTTCTGAAATTGTCAGCTAATGACTTGGCTGAAACCTTAACGGAAGAAGCACAACCATATGCGGTTTTGGATCCAATATGTTACCACGTGAGTGATCAGATTCTTTGGTCCCATTTTCTGCTCCCATTTGATGAGGAATTGCAACTTACTCAGCCGACAGTTTTGCCTGAAATGTCAATCAGATGTGGGATACAAATGAGTAGTGCACGCTCTGTATAGTTTGAATCATAATCATCATCCGAAATGCGGCAGTCCTGTGAAGTGTCGAATAAAAACAATCTTACTGATGCATCCTGTTTATTTCAGTTGGTCCTAGCAACCGGAACAATTGCGGATGGTATTCTTGCGGACAAACTGCTTGGGTGTAAGAGCAGCCGCGGTACAGATGGATCCATCCGGTTGATGGTATATGTAAACACTGGTTTGAGCGATTCCAAGACGGACTCCGCGACCGAATGTATTCGCGACGGTTGGGCAGTATTACTTGAGCAATGGAAACTTGTGGTGATGGAACACTTCAATCTGGGCTCAAACTCGTTTGAACTGCGCCGTGAGTTATTGGACTATTGTATAGTGTCACCCGTTAACCTTGTGAGGAGTGGGTTATCATTCACAATACAGAAAACAAAATGATTCTCAATTGAAATGTAGCGTGTATTTATTCATCTTGAATGGAATCCCATGTCGGGAGATGTTTGGTTGATGTTAAAACGTTCTCGAATAATTCGTGTTGCATACAAATGCGGAGAACTAGTAGCAAAACAGGTGTTCAATAGTTGGCCTTTTCACAGCTGTTTGTGTTTATTTTGAATGCATTATTTATTCTGGATCTCAAGTCGTCCGTTCCTCTACATAATAGCCCTTGAGTGTGAGGTTGCATGCCCTGCCGGTAAATGCAAGCAGGTGAGAGATCGTTTTCAAATATGATAACCATCAAACAAAACGAACCAACCCAGGGGGAATAATACTTGTGTGTAAGATGTAATCAGCTACACACGTGTTTGATAGGTATGATCTACCTCAGTAACCCAGCTTATCGTAGCATCTGCTTGAGTGTTTCTCTCACTGTGGAGAATTTAGTATTGGCCTCCCTGTCCTATATGGAGCTTCACGTGAATATAATTATATAATAGACCTCACAGT